CCCCAAAACCCCAAAACCCCAAAACCCCAAAACCCCATGAAGTCAAAATTGAGTCAAGATGGAAACATGAACAATATAAAATCAATATACTTTAATATCTGTTAAGCCAAGTCATATCATTAGTATCTGAGTTGTTTATTATACAAAGTGATATTGAATGACAGACTTACTTACTAATTATAACTCCTGTAAAATTTATATTTTTTCATATTAAATTTGAGATTTTTTCGATTAGAACTTAAAATAATCAATGAATTATCAGAAGCTAACCCAATAAAGTCCTAAGAAGAGGTTCAATCTACAGGGAATTTTCAATGATGGATCTAATCCTTCACAAAGCGAAATTGAGTAATACTATAGAGAATTTGTATCAATGGATTAATCTCGGTTCTTGAGTTAGTCAGTCATAAGAAGTCGTGATTCAACTAATAATCTAAACACATTAAATATGGATGATACTATGACAAGAGATCTCCTCGATGATTATAGAAAAGAATCGCCCAAAAATTCAGCTTAAGCCTCGAATACCCAGAGAAATGATAAATTAATTTAAGATTAGGGGAATGAAGGTAGGGGTTTTGATAGCAACCTTTAAAAAGTAGGAATAATTGGGCATATCACAACAAACGTCACATATCTGATTAATGATATGAGGAAGAGAAATAGACAGTTTCAAATCGGGCTCATTTCAGTGTTTTTGGTAGTCTCTTTCACGACATTCGTGACTGCCTTTGTCAATAGTACTCCCTCGCTATTCTTTATGGTCTCTTAATCAAACGCAGGTGATTTTGATATCACCTTGACTGCTCTGAGGAACGATAAGGAATATGAATCTGGCAACTACAACTACTATTATGATCCGTAAGATATACTTCAAATACTTCAAATAAAATAAGATTTATTTTTAACTCCTTCATTCTTATTTTTTAGTTTGTTCTAGTTCGATTCAAAGTAGGATTATGCTTAATTCAACAGATTATAAGGATAGAAAGATTCTTTGAGATCTTAGTTTATAAATAGAGAGGTTTCCCTACTAAATATGACGGCTATACTATAAGAAATACGTGATATACCTGAAATAGTAGGTGCATTTCCTCGATGGATGGCAATGTGCCAGGTTGCTAATTCCAATAAATAAGCTGCAGGTGACACTGGTTCTTTCATTATCTATGGGGTAAGCAATATATGTTAGTTTAAATTGGGATTGGTAGGATCAAAAATTGGAAAGAGATATTGGAGTAGCAAATGGATTCCCAAACCATTTATTGAAAGAAAATGAAGCCATGGTGTCGAAGGATTTAATGGGAATGCTTGGATTAAAGATAGGTGAATAAATCCTTGTGAGATATGAGTTTCTGACCTTCTTGCCACCTAAGTTCAACATACTCTAGACGATCGCATTCGATGAAATACCCTATGAAATGAATAATCAGAATCTTACTCGAGGAAAACTGTTCTTATCTAAGCTGAACCAAGATACGAATCTGACCATGAAGGATTTCAATAACTATGTATATTAAACATATGGCTTGCAACCTTACGCAGCTGCTAGAAGCTACGCCCTACTTCTAGGTTATAATGATACTACTCCTTTTTATATGATCCTCGAGGATTTCTTTTAAAATATTAGAAGAGATGACTTCACCTTTGAATAAAATTATACTGTTAAAGAAGTAATTTTCATTAGGAATATTTTAATTGCGAAATATAGGAAATAAGTTCAACTTTTGGCAAATGGCCGAGTGCAATGGGAAATACAGTGTTTCTTGATTCAACTTACGTGGTTGAGAATTTCTACTAGGTAATTTAAGTATGCCATATATTGATTTTGAGGATAGATGTTCTATTAAAACGCAATAAACGCGACCAAAAGGAAAGAGATATCTCGAGGTTAGCTACAGGAAATTGAATTTCTCCTTTAATTGATAAAGCACACGCTAGAAAATTTAACTATCAGTGATTTAGCAATGAGCGTCAATATGCAAATCTCAGATAGAATGAGAAAGTATAATGAAGATGGAGGCTCAGAACTAGTTGATACTCTTATGAACCTATTTTATAAGAAATCATTCTATGAATCTGCTGATGGCGAGTTGACCATTCAGGAGCAGACATCTACGATAGGCTCAATGAAATCAATGCTTACTAGCTCATTCTTTATGATAACCTTCCAAATTTTCATAGTTGCCTTCATCCTTTATCAATCTTTGATTTAGTCAGTATGTTTTGATTATGCCAATTTTTATAGGATGTGGAGGAAAGGACTTATGAATTTGCAATGCTTAGAACATTGGGATATAGAAAGGATTAACTGATGTCGCTGTTGAGCATGCAGACATTGTTTTTCGCATTACCTGCAACTATCATGGGTTTCATAGTAATGGCTATTGAGCTGGTTGGTATTAAAATGGTTATCTACGATTCTACTAGATTTGGAATTTATTAATATGTGGGAGCTTTTACTGTATTTGTTGTAAGTATTATTTTTTATTAAATTCCTCTATAGGGTTTGATAATGGGTATCGTTATCCCCTTGATGTCTAATTATATACCTATCAAACAAGCGATGTCAAAGTCATTGAGAGATTCATTAGACGTCTATAGAAAATCAATGGATGAGTTTACAGTAAAGATGACCAGACTAGAGAATATGGGAATATCCCCGCTGTAAATGGGATCTGGCTTGTTCCTCACTATATTTGGCTTTATCTGCTATTATTTTATCCCTTCGTCACTAATCAATTTGGATTTTGAGATGTTTTACATCGTTATATTAGGGATTCTTACCATGATAGTGTTAGGTGTAAATCTTATTTCATAGGCTTTTGTACCCTGGATTGAGAACTTCATTGTTACACTCATCATAATGTGCAAACCAAAAGAAAAGTAAGTAAAATTGTAAAATATATAATACAACTATAGAAAACTAAAGCCAATTATTTAAAAGAATCTGAAGTCACATAGGGGGAGAAATATGAAGACATCTTTAATGTTCACTATGACAATGAGTTTCCTTATGTATTCAAACACTAGTTTCTAGTAAGGGGAGTATATGATATTCTCTATGACTAGTGCAGTCATTGGCTCAGATATTGCTCTATTTAGACCTAGTACTTTAACTGGCAAGCCTGTTTCACTTGAGGAATAAAAGCTAAATGAGTTCTTCTATGCAAACCTCTATACTAGCGAGAATCCTAGTGGATTAATTACTCAGTATTCTTATCTAGGCTAGACATTAAATGAAATACTTACAAATGAAGGAAAACAGCAACTATAAATAAATATTGGGGTAGGACTGGATGGCTAGGAAGAATTTGCTGTGAAAGTTTAGGGATTATCAAGAGATCATTTAGAAAAATAAGACATATAATACTACTATCCAATACAATCAATGAAAGGAAAAGAATTCTTTGATAAGGAATACAAAAAGGAAGAAATCATGGAATTACTTTACGATTTGGATGAATTTAGTCATTCTACTCAGGTCTAAGATAAATTAAGAATAAGAAGTGAAATTTAAGATAAGCCTTATCAGAATTAACCATTTGAAGATACAATAATAAACATTATAATACCCTAAGCAATAGTTGGGCTATTACCAATTAAGGCAGGAGATCTTATCAAAATGTGTTTAGGTATAGATTGCTAAAGTCAATTTAGAGCAAGAGTTGTGGCAACTATAAGAAGAATGCCTGGGATATCTGATATCTCTGGCTACAGACCAGCTGCTTATCTCTAGCCAAGTGTGATCGTTTCTTATGATCAAATGGTTTAAATAATTAGCAAGTATACATCTTAAAATCCACAGGCAAAAAAAGACTATGATCTATACATGTCTAGATAGCCTCAAGGAAATACCAATAATATCCCCAAAAAAGCAGTATATGTTAACTTCAAGAATCATGCCACTGACGATGAGATTAATAACATGAAGAATAGTATGGTGAAAATAGCAGGTGATAATAATGCGATTGCATTTGATACAAGATAGTTCAACAAAGGTCTTAGTGATTTTATGATTGTGATGTATTTGTTCAGTGGGATTGTAGCTGTTATTCTATTTTTGCTAACCTTCTTTCAGTTGATTGTTTCAATATCTAGTAATATTAGAGATGATGAATGGGAGTTAGGAGTACTGAGGTAAGAACTATAAAGTATCATTAAAATTATTATAGAGCAATGGGGATGAGAAAGACTGAAATACAAAAAATAACCTCCTATGAATACACAGCAAATATCCTGACTCCAACATTCCTTGGTATAATCATTGGTGCTATATGTGCATCAACAATGAGTACCTTATTTTTGGCTATTGCTGAATTACCCTTTAAACTAATGGTAAAATTTGATGAATCATATTTTTAGATATCCTTCACCAGTATTATCGTGATGATAGTATGTGCAGTATTGACAATAATCATAGGTACTGCTATCGGCTCCAGAGTTATTAATAGAAAAAGCATATCTCAGGTATTGAAAGGCCTGTGATTAATATTTATTGAGATTAACAAGAATACTTCTATTGATGAAGAAACAAGTTAATTTCCTAAAAAGCACTATCAAAAATTAATTACTTAAAAACACTATTCATCATTAATGAATATCACGATGAAGTGGGGTTTTGGGGTTTTGGGGTTTTGGGG